TAGCTCCAGTGGCTAGGGCGCCAGCCACATACACCAGAGATGGTGGATTCGAATCCAGCCCGGACCTGCCAAACAACAATGACAACTACAACCAAAAAATAGTCAGGCATTGTGGCAGGTGCCTATAGTCCCAGCTACTTTGGCAGCTGAGGCAAGAGAATCGCTTAACCCCAAGAGTTTGAGGTTGCTGTGAGCTGTGACACCGCTCTACCGAGGGTGACAAACTGAGACTCTGTCTCAAAAAAAAAAACAGAATAGGATTCTGGAGTTGAACCATTTGTTTGGCAATGGCAATAGAAATTTTACTGCTGTTGCTGTTACAACTACCAAAATTTTCATTTGGGGTGAATTATAATGAGATAAGGTAGAAAAGGATATGGCTCAGATAATGTATCTCTACCACTTTAGAAATGTAATAAAATGATTACACAATGGATCTTATTGGGGTAATGGGAAATGAAGCTGGATTATGGTGATGTAACACAACTCAATAAATTTACTAAAAATCATTGAATTGCACACTTAAAATAGGTGAATTTTATGTGTATAAATTTTATTTAAAATAAAATTGTTTAAGAATGTCCTAAATTATTTTCCTCCATATATCCAAGCCTCCCATCAATAAGTATAGTCTAAGGCGGCACCTGTGGCTCAAGGAGTAGGGCACCAGTCCCATATATAAGAGGTGTCAGGTTCAAGCTCAGCCCCAGCCAAAATTGCAAAAAAAAAGTAGTACAGTCTACTTCTCCATCTCTTAATGGAGCTGGTCTTGTGATTTCCTTTCCTAAAGAATGGGACAGAAATGAGAGTTCTGACCCTAAGCCTTTTAGGGTGCCTTGCAAGTTTCTGCCTTACTCTCTTGGAACCCTGACACTGCTATGTGAATAATTTCAGGTCTAAGTGCTAGATCAGGCGTCCTCAAACTATGGTTTGTGGGCCACATGCAGCCCACCTAGGACATTTATCCAGCCCGCCAGGTGTTTTTGCCACCGCTGCCTGTCCTGCTTAGCAGCCGACTCGTCCCGGGGCCCACAGTCCGGACCTCCAATGTCTGAGGGACAGTGAACTGGCCTCCTGTTTAAAAAGTTTGAGGACCCCTGCACTAGATGGTGAAAGACACATGGTCCAGTCATGAGTGAGGCCATCTTAGATCAGCCCCACCTTAGATCAGTCAAACTCTAGTCAACCCATCTACTGACCAGAGTACAATCAGCCAAGTTGGGCCCAAGTAAATAGAACCAACCAGGTGATCATAATGTCATAGGCAGTATAGTTACTATTTCAAGTGACTAAATTTTGGAGCAGGTTATTAATACATCAATAGAAACTGATACATGTGACATGGGTTAAATAATAATCATTAAGACTACGAAACAGGTTGGTGGTTGTTATGAGTACTGATCTGCTTAAGAGAGATGACAGGCTCAGTTAACCCAATTACCAACTTAAGGAAAAACACTATCTAGAGTCACTTACCCCTACAAGAATTGCATTCCAAAACCTTAGTTTCCTAGAGCAAAGGCTCCACCATCAGCAAGAGAAAATTATACCTCATCCATAAAGTATGGCACACTACTCTTAACATTATTACTAGGCCCTGGAAGACACTGAGCATCTGAGTATTAATAATCAAGGGACTATGCAACCAGAGCTAACCATCATGAGCTAGGCATAAGTTCAACATCCATGAAGTTGTAACATCAAGAGAGTACAGCAGTAATCCATCATAAAACAGAAACTGGTATTTTGGGAATGGGCCCAAGTTAAGTAGAAATAGATAACAAAAACAGGCTTTCGGCTCGGTGCCTGTGGCTCAACCGGCTAAGGCGCCAGCCACGTACACCTAAGGTGGCGGGTTTGAATCCCCAGCCCGGACCCGCCAAAAACAGCAATGATGGCTGCAACCAAAAGAAAAAATGGCCGGGCGTTGTGGCGGGCGCCTGTGGTCCCAGCTACTTGGGAGGC